TCACAAATGCAGACATGGTTTTATGTTTACTCGGCACGATGCAACACAACGCGTTAAAAGACATTATAAGTCATTATAATCCGTAATTATGTCCCCACTGGATGCAACAAATGCCTCGTTTATAATGGGTTTTAATGTTTTTGTCTCGTCGCTCCGGCCGGACAGGGCATCACAGTATGTGAGGGGCGTAACATTCCCGTCACACGCTTGAGGTATTCGGCCAATCACAACGCACTGGATAGCTGGCCAATCACAGCACACCTCGTTTTTCAGACCGATGATCTTTGTAAAAATCGTTTCAGAAGGCGGGGCATAGAGGAGAAACAATAATGTACAGTATGTGGAAAATAATGTGTTTTGAACCTTAAACCGCATAAACGCATTTCATTACACCAAATACACAAAATAATGTTCTTTTTAGCAACATCATATGACCCCTTTAAACTAACTTTTACTAATTAAATTGGTTCCTTATTAAATTACGTTTTAAGACATTTGGTTGAAAATGAAGTAAACTGAAGTGCATTTTCAGAGGAGAAGCGGCGTTTGGATCTAGATTTCTTCCAAACATTAATGGAGCAGATCCTAAAAAACGAGAAAGATAAGAAAAACAAAAACAAAGAGCTCATCAAGTTGGCTAAAGCGCAGAGGAGAGTCCAAAGGAAAGTGAGAGGTCAGTTTTTCTTTTTGTTTCTGTCCATCTGTTTATGATTCACTGTTTTTTGGACAAGTTCTCATGCACAGTTGCACTATTTTCTGATGCAGCAGCTAAAAGAAAGGAAATGGACTCTTCATCGGATTCAGACAGTGATGTGGTGGCTGGAGAAAAGGAGAATGAGGACCTCTCAAATGATGGAGGAAGTGATACCACTCCAAAGAAGCGCAGAGGAAGAGGGACGAATACTCCAGACAGGAGAATCAAGAGGACGAATGGAGAGGGTATGCAAGGAACAACTGAGAAAAAAAAAGAAAGCATTTTCATTATCTTGCAAAAGTCCAGATGAATTGGAAGTAACAGCCTATGCCTAATGAAACTTTAGTGCATTTTTATTTAAAAAATGTTTTTTATTATTATTTAATTCACTGGATGTATTGTTAATTTGTGTTTTGTTTTATGTTATTTTGTTGTGATTGTGATGCGTTGTATTTTGGGACCCCCTCGAAAACGAGATGTTACATCTCAAGGGGTTAATCCTAATAAATAAATTCAAACTCAAATTCAAACTTTAAAAAAAAAAAAATGAGTACAAAACATCGACTTTATCTACTTGGCCTCCTGACACTTTTACTTACTTCTGATGGCCAGTCACAAGATGACAAGTAAGAATGAACCCAAATATATTATTAAAAGGTTACAGATAGCTCACATTATTCAGTTTAGAAGTGCATTTACATGTACACTACCATTCAAACGTTTGGGGTCAGTTCGATTTTTTTTTTAAATGTTTTTGAAAGAAGTCTCTTTTATGCTCACTTAAGCTGCACTTATTTTATAGAAATACAGAAAAACGATAATATTGTGAAATATTATTACAATATAAAATAACAATTTTCTATTTTAATATATTTTAAAATGGCATGTAGTCCTGTGATGAAAAAACTAAATTTTCATCAGCAAAAACATTAGTTTTTTTTATAATCAGTTTTGAGCACTGTTGTGCTGCTGTTTTGTGAAAACCATGATGAATTTTCTTTCATGATTCTTGTTGAATAAAAAAGTTCAAAAGAACAGCATTTATTTAAAATATTTTTTCTTTGCCCAATAAAAGTATTAATTAATTTGAAAAAAAAACAACAACTCTTACTGAACCCAAACCTTTGAACTGTAATGCAATTTCTGCACTACTCGTGCAGTTATAATTTATAATGTTATAAGACGATTTGGGGGCTGAAAATGAAACTTTTTCTAGTAGATACAAGAGTTCTGCTATTAAACCAGCTCAGCTCAAAGGTCGACCGCAGAGACCGATCCCAGACCTCAGCCGCAGATGGGGGAACAGGTGCCCTGTGCCGAAATGCAAAGAGAACGGAACCTCAGTCGGGGAGGAGAGTAAGATGGACAAGTACCCCAAGGTGACGTTCTCAGCTGTTTGATGTGATAGTTTTATGTGTATTACTGTACAAAGTCATTTTTATCTGCCTGTTTTATCTAATAAATTGTATAATTTGCTCTTTTTAGGTGCCTTCAGCCTCTGTAAAAGAGAAGAAGCAGTCTGCAGTTCTCCTTGAACTGGAAGATTTAGAGGAAGAAGAACCTGACCTGTGCGCTGTACAAGAACAGATATTCAATAAACCAACCAGGTAAGTGTGAGAATCTTTAGATCATTTTAATAACCGTTTAAGGATCTCAATGCAACTGTGCATTTTTGTAGTATTATTTATATACTGTTACAGTATTTATTAATATTTTGAGTTGGGTTTTATATATATTTTATGGGGGGGTTTGTTTTTATTTAATGTTTGTTTTAGTAATTTCATGTGCTTTTGTCATTTAAAAAAAAATAAATTTTGATTTCAGATTAGTTTTGAGTAATTTTAGTACTTTAACTTAAACTCTACTTATTTCAGTTAGTTGCCTATGCAGAATTTCTCATTTCATTTAAGTTGTTCATTTAATGTCTATATTTTATTTTGTTGCAGCTTTACTTCTATTGCCGTACATTATTTTAAATATTTTTACATGCAATGCAGATGTAATTGTGAATAGATCCAGAATCATGTGATAAACAAGTATGATTAATGTTTGAATCAATTTATTTTATTTTTGATGATCATTATATTTTTTGGCATTATTCTGTGGTCTTGTTTTCAGTTTTGGTTGTCATGCTAATTATCATTTCTCTTTTATTTAGGTCAGGAAGGATCCCTAAGCTCTCTCAGCATGTAATACAGGCAGCGGCAGAGGAAGAGGAAGATGAGGAAGAGCTCTCTGATCTTCCTGTGTTTTCCAAAGTTCGTGGTCAGGACATTAAGGCACCTGGCTGGAGAGCTAAATTAAAACCAGGTCCCAGATTGAAACAGGGCATGCCTAGAAGGGGGAAATCTAGACTGGTGACCTTACTGGCCTCTGGAACTGAAGATGGTGATGAGGAGGAGGAGGAAGTAGAAGAATCTGTCCTGAGCCAGGAAGACTTCCCTTCAAATCCTGAAGAGGAAAACCAGGCGTTTGTGCCAATGAGTTTACGCCATCTACCTCCTGTTAATTCAGAGGTGGTAGAAACCATGGAAGAGGTATGTTTATGTATTATTATAAGAAAGAGGACCCTAGTGGGACCACCTTTATCACATATTATTGCCATCAGTCTGCTTGTTTTTCATAAATTATGTTATGGTTTTCAAAAAGTGAGTTTATTTTTGTTTTGCCATTTTGTTCATATTAATATCTGCATGTCATATCATAAACTCACAACCTTCCTACCTTTCATTGTCCTTCCCTCTATTGTGATTCATTCCCATTGTCTCCCAGCTGGACATTTCTTTGAATGTGCCTGATATCCTGGGCACATCCCAGAATGCTTTGTGCCCCGAGTTGTCATGTGATCAGGGCACGGTGCATGTTGGCCAGTTGGACCTGCTTGTTGTAAGTCTCACCAACATCATCTATGTCTCTCGTCACATTTGACGCTTCCTCTGTTTACTGTTGCTGTGTCCATCATAAATGCACATACATTTTCAGTAGCCTCTCACTGCAGAACAAAGATCCAGGGGACGGGGTTGGATCCACAGGGGTGGAGATGGCAGGTTTAGGGATCAGGGGAGATGGGTAGGTTTAGGTATATGTAAGGTGGGAGGAGTTGGATCTGGATCCAACCTCGCCCCCTGGATCTTGTGTTCTGCAGTGAGAACCATCTCTACATTTTCCTTTTTTTTTGTTTTCTGTAGTGAAATTGAATTTAGTTTCTCCACTTTGGAATTGGAATGTTTTTGTAGTGTTTGATGAGATGGTACTAATTTGTGTCTGATTTGTTTTGAAGGATGTCATAGAGTTTCTTGACGCAGACCACATGGAGGGTAAGACAAAACTCTCTCTCAAGGAAACGTTCTCTGATGAGCTGAAAGAACTGCCAAATGAATTGTTATTATATGGATTAACCATGCATTTGTGTCTAGTTATCATATGTAGTCAAAAAGGTCTGCGGTATGCACTGAAATGTTATATCCCAACCTTTAATTGGGCAAAAATACACAGATCCAGAAGGCATTTTTCTGAGAGGGAAAAAAAGAATAATAATAATTTTTTAAAATTTAATTTCCATGTACATAATTTGATATAATAATAATATATGTTTGGATTTAAAAAATATTTGATAATTTTATTTAATTTCAATTTACATCAATGTTCAATTGATGAAAAAAGCTTTTATGAAATAAAAATGGGCAAAAATGCATTGAGAGAAGTCTAATTTTCTGATTCAGTGTTAAAAAACAAAAAACAAGCAGAAATTAACATAATACCATGTATAAATTATTTTAACTTTTTAATAATGTGTATTTTTTGTGATTACAGCAAGATTTTTTTTTAAACAATTGGTTTCGAAATGTGCTTTAATGTTGCAAAAAAAAAAGATAGAAAATTTCATTAAAACCAGGTTCCATTTTATTATGAAACATAAAATTGAATGAAACTATTTATTTATTAATTCATTCATTATTGTAATATATGATTTTTTTTAGAATTTACATGATTGTTTAAATGATAACGATTAAAAAACTTCAAATCTGTGTTAATCCTACTATAAATTATATATTATTTCCAGTATTTTAAAATGACTTATAAGAATGTTCATTGTTACCATCCAATCTTTTAAGAATATTGTGTAAATGTGATTTATTGTCACAAAAATAATGATTGAACATTTTATTAAAATTAAATCCAATTTATTATGCAACATATAAGTTAATCATTTTTTTATTAAAATCTTTTAAAAGCAAATATCTGTTTATGTTTGCATATGTTTTCTTGCAGTATTTAATGAGAAGCCATCTGCTGCTCAGCCTTCCATGACCACTTTCACTAAAAGTCCTGAAGAGGGTGCTGTAGATACCACAGAACTTGATGTATCCAAAAATGCAGCTCAACAAGAAGGAGCATCGAGCATTGAATCAGCAGAGGTCAAATATCTGTTAAATGTGTGTTAAATACGATCAAACCACGTCAGGTAGAATTACTACAATAAGGACATCAAAATAATAAATATCATGTGTTATGTCTCTGTAAATCAGACAGTTTCTGAAAACGAGTCCAGACAGAAAACCATGGTCATGCTGGATGAGAACATTAGAACTAATCCTGAGGAAGTTTGTGAAGGCAGCACTGTGGAACATCCTGGATGTGAATCAGAAGACACATCTGCTGAGCCCACGCCTGAGGAACCTGTGTTTATACTGTCTCTCATGGAAATCCCACCCACTTTAGATGAGGGGGCGGGGTTTCGGACAGAGCTCCTCCCACCTGTGGCAGCGTCTGAGACGCATTCTCATGGTCAAAGGTACCTTTGCTTTAAACTGTTATCTGATACCATAAACACTTGGAGAGAGCTAAATAAACATTAGGAGGATGTTGTAAGAAAGTTTTGTCCCGGTTGAGAATTTGTTAGCCAAATGAATGCGGATTTAAGTCTTATTTGCAAATGTTTCCATGTTCTACCTATTATTGTGCTTAATTTCAGTGCTAGTGAGAGCAGGGAGGTATCTCACCTACTGATCACAGACGCTTTAGTTCCTGTGTCAGAGGATGAGGAAAAGAAAAGTGAACAGGGAGACGTGGGCAAATCTAGGACAGGAGAATTGAAACGCAAGACACCAGCCTCCACATCTCAGGGGGTAAAACATGCATCTTGACTTTAAAAACTATAAATGCTAGATAAATACTGATATGTGACTAAAACTGAGGCCATTTCCTTCCTAGAATACCAAAGATGAGAGTCAGGCAGAACATCATGGTGAAAATATTTCCAGCTCTAAAAATAAGCATATATGCTACAGATTTAACATCTGTTAATGCATTGCACTGCCCTATAACCCAGTTTCTTTATGTGTTAGTGGAAGGATTGGAGAGCCTTGTGGTAGAGGGGACTGATGATGAGAAGGAACATCTAGAAAAGAAAAGAAAAATACCTGAGAGTACCAGGAGAGGTAAGGGAGCTTTCAAAAGTTTGTTACCGGGAAGATTTTGTCACGTTTTTGAAAGAAGTCTCTTATGTTCACCAAGGTTGCATTTATTTGATTAAAAAAATACAGTAAAAACTGAAATATTGTGAAATATTATTATAATTTAAAATAACTGTTTTCTATTTGAAATTATTTTAAAATGTAATTTATTTCGGTGATGCAAAGCTGAGTTTCCAGCATCTTTACTCCAGTCTTCAGTGTCCTTCAGAAATCATTCTAATATGCTGATTTGCTGCTCAGGAAACATTTCTGATTATTATCGATGCTTAAGAGTTGTGTGTGGAAACCAACATACATTTTCTTTCAGGATTGTTTGATGAATTGGAGTTAAGAAAAGCATTTTTTTTTAGAAAGAGAATTTTTCGTAACTTAAAGCATGTCTTTAATTTAATGCACTTTCTTCTGTTCAGCAAAGCTGCAATTTAAACCCATCCCTGTTTTGCGGAGAAATGCTCGAGGTGGTGATGCTAAAGAGGACATGGCAGCTCTCTCTTTTAAACAGACTACTTCATTACCCGTTTCAACACGAGAGACGAGATCAGTGCCAGAGCAAACTGTACCCGCTGTCATTTCATCAACAGACAACTCGATTTCAACCACCATCTCTGACAGAGAAGCAACTACAGACCTTTCTGCGACTAGCGATAATACTCGTTCACCTGTCTCTGAAGATTCTGTCCAGGTGGGTTCCTCCCAAGGCATCATGGGAAAAGTGGACCTCTCAGGCAAAAAGACAGTTGAGTTGGCTAGTACATCAGACTTGCAAAGTGTCAGTCAAATCACGCCTATTGCCACAAGTGGGCCGCTTACAAGGTGGGTGGCTCTACATTTTGTTAGTTTTTAAAGTAAAAAATGTGAATCTTCTGAGGTTTGAAATCCTGCTAATAAGGCTTCTTATCACCAAATTTCAGTGCAAACTTTCCAGGGCAGTGTATTGGCTTTAATATTGCTCTAGATGTTATGATCCATTTTTGTTCATTTGGATGTCTTCCAATAGACCTGGCAGAAGACTCAAAGGGTTCCTGTCCTTCATTTCATCGAAGAATACACAAGGACCCCCAGCAGCTCATCGAGGGGCCAAACCAGGCCCCCAAAAACCAGCAGTCAACACCGCACGTCCTGAGAGAAAGCGGATAGCAGCCGGACCTGTTACCACTGCAACCAACCCTGGAGTAAAGCGACCCTCACAGACCCCTGCTTTCACCACTGCATCTGTCATTGAGGTATCATGCGGTCAGATATTTCAGTGCTTTTATGGTCACTTTGTATATTTGTATTAATCAAACCGGATTTGATCTTTCTCTACTCAGCAGAACTCAGATGAAGAACCCACAAGTGTCTCCAAGTACTTCTTCAGTGACATCTTTACTGAAGTTGATGAATTAGAAGACATGGATTAAGGCCAAAGGTTGGAATAACAAACCAGTCACAACTAACTAAATAGTCAGAAATATAGTTTGACAAGTCGGGTGTATAGACGTGTGAATATTTGAAGTTTTTCCCAGGACACTTTTACCAAGAGGAACCACAACTGAAGAGATGCAGCGAAAACGTACCTCAGTAACAGCTGACATTATTTATTTTATGTTATTATAATTTTATTTAAGGATAAATAAGTAATAATTCAGTTATGTTTTTGATACTGTTGCGCTCTTTTTTAGAAAGCGGATAGCAGCCGGACCTGTTACCACTGCAACCAACCCTGGAGTAAAGCGACCCTCACAGACCCCTGCTTTCACCACTGCATCTGTCATTGAGGTATCATGCGGTCAGATATTTCAGTGCTTTTATGGTCACTTTGTATATTTGTATTAATCAAACCGGATTTGATCTTTCTCTACTCAGCAGAACTCAGATGAAGAACCCACAAGTGTCTCCAAGTACTTCTTCAGTGACATCTTTACTGAAGTTGATGAATTAGAAGACATGGATTAAGGCCAAAGGTTGGAATAACAAACCAGTCACAACTAACTAAATAGTCAGAAATATAGTTTGACAAGTCGGGTGTATAGACGTGTGAATATTTGAAGTTTTTCCCAGGACACTTTTACCAAGAGGAACCACAACTGAAGAGATGCAGCGAAAACGTACCTCAGTAACAGCTGACATAATTTATTTTATGTTATTATAATTTTATTTAAGGATAAATAAGTAATAATTCAGTTATGTTTTTGATACTGTTGCGCTCTTTTGTTATGTAAAGTTGTATTATAATTCATGTCTGATCTGAGCCTAACTGATTATTGTTTTTTGTTGGTTTCGACCTGCATTTTATTTCCAGTTATGAATAAGAAACACGTTCATTTCTCTCAGTCATTTCTCTTGCATCAATTGCTAATGTTTTTTTTTTAATCAGAGAATGACGTTTTCTGAAAGTGACTTTTCTTTCTGTATAATTTATTTATTTTTTTAAGAGCAGCTTTAAAACAAATTTCCATTTTAAATAAGCACTGTCCTGTTTTCAGCTCAATGCTGTCTGTGTGTTGTATTTTAGCATTGCTCCACATTATTTGTAGCATTTTTATATTCAACTTTTAGTGGCAAAGCCTAACCTTTGTTCAGTTTTATGCTGTTCATATTTGTTTTTCATAGTTATATGCAAATGTTCTCAAGCAAGTATTTTATATTTGTAAATATGTTAATAAAAATGTACAGTGTTTGTAAAGGTTGAATTTCAAACAATTTTCCATCTGTCTGAATATATGAGAAATCTATATTTAGAAATTACAAATTTGATGATTAGATTCATGAAATAACATATATAATAATGTTAATACAGTCACTTATTTTTAGCTACCTTGTATGCATAAGTGAATGAGCTGCTTTAATTGCACAGAAATATTACATAGAATAGCAATTAAAGGGATAGTTCACCCAAAAATGAAAATTCTGTCATTACTCTTGTTAACAAGCAGAGGAATCCACACTGATGGACTATTTTAAGGATGTTTTAAAGATACTACCTTTCTGGGCATTGAACGTGGTAGTTGCGTTTCTGTCTATGCAGGGTGAAAAAGCTTTCCGATTTCATCAAAAATACATTAATTTGTGTTTTGACGATGAACGATGAACTTACAGGTTTGGAACGACATGAGGGTGCTTAAAGGGGTCATATGATGCGATTTCAAGTTTTCCTTTCTCTTTGGAGTGTTATAAGCTGATTGTGCATAGATAAGATCCCTGAAGTTGCAAAGACTAAAGTCTCAAAACCAAAGAGATATTCTTTATCAAAGTTAAGACTCTGCCACGCCCCCCTAAAACGGCTCGTTCTAACACGCCCCCACATATCTACCTCACTATGTGGAAATATTAGCATAATGCTGCCCAAATGTGCACGCAAAGAAAGAAGGCGTGGTTTCAGTAACCGCCGTTAGTGTTGAATCAGCATGTCAGGGAGACGCTGTGTGTTTCTAGGCGAAAGCAAAAACCTCTTTATTTTGCCTTCCAGAAGTAGATGCGTTTAGGAATCTTTAAGATTTCTTACAACAGAACAGCAATGCATTTTATGGACGACCGTTTCATGAACCTAGGAGAGGAGGTCATTCTGACTTTATCTACCTCACTATGTGGAAATATTAGCATAATGCTGCCCAAATGTGCACGCAAAGAAAGAAGGCGTGGTTTCAGTAACCGCAGTTAGTGTTGAAGCAGCCATGTCAGGGAGACGCTGTGTGTTTCTAGGCGAAAAGCAAAAACACTTTATTTTGCCTTCCAGAAGTAGATGCGTTTAGGAATCTTTAAGATTTCTTACAACAGAACAGCAATGCATTTTATGGATGACCGTTTCGTGAACCTAGAAGAGGAGGTAATTCTGACTTTGCTATGACAATCTGGCGCTTCTGAATCAGCTACTGTTTTATTATTAGTTTAAGTATTTGCTATTGACTGTTCAAATGGAGAGTTTTGCGCATCGTGTGGCTGTCTTAACCGTGGCTTGTGTACTGCACACATACCAGCTTCATCACTGTGTCTGTCACGCGTGACTCCGTTCCCCTTTGGGCTCTGTCTTTACATTTATTTTGAAAGATGAAGCTGGCGATTATGGTAAGGGGCGTTACATTTCCGACGAGTGCTTGCGGTGTTCGGCCAATCACAATGCACTGGGTCAGCTGGCCAATCAGAGCAGACTGTGCTTGTGGAAGGCGGGACTTTGTAGAAAACGAAGAGTTTGAGAGAGGCGGGGCATATGGGACCTACAATAATGTACAGCATTTGAAAAATAATGTGTTTTTTGAACATTAAAGCATGTCAACATATTCTGTTACACCAAATACACAAAATAATGATCTTTAAAAAAGCATCATATGACCCCTTTAATTAATGACAATTTTAATTTTGGGGTGAACTGTCCCTTTAAATGTAACATAAAATAAGCGGCGTTTAACAGCCGGACATTCTTTTTGGTTTGAGGCAAAGAGTCTAAATAATTGTCTTGTATTTCGATTTGTAACTTTGTATTTTAAAGACAATGTCCATTAAAGTTTCTCAGTGTAAATTTTTTTTTTTTCAAATGCAAAGTTTTGCAAGTAACCTGCTGTTGAACCGCTGCTCGTTTACGTCATTCATTAACATGTGGTGCCTGTTACTTTTGTCAGCGCAGGTCAGAACGGACCAATCACGGTCGTCTGTATTTACAGCGTGGGGATTTAAAAAAAAATGCTTTTATTGAGATCACTGGTGCGAGTTTCGATTTGTAGATTTCAGCTGTTAATACTCAAAATGATTAGAATCAAAAGATAATACGGTTTAGGTTGCAGATGCTTCCAGTGATCCAAAAAATGTTCTAAAATGTGGATACGTCTGAAGGGAGGATTCGTTTTTTAAACCAATATACGCGCCCTGGCGGAATCAAACCTTGTGTGCAATGGGAAAACATTTAACAGCCTACCAAAGTTATGTTCACTAAATCACAATAATGGGGTCGCTGTTTCAGTGAGTGTTCAAAACTTCAAGCGCCACCCATACCACGGACTCGGACTGGGGAAAACACACCCTAGTTATCCATAGCTGTTGCAACATGTCCAGTAGGATTTTATACTAATGGCGCTTTTCAGATATATATCTAAGCATTTGGGACGGGGTTTATGTTTATTTTAATGCAGTAGTTAACCGCTTCGGTCGGTTGGTCGCTTGAGTTGGGATTTTCAACCTACAGCACTCATGTTCTGCAGAAACCAGACTTCCAGAGCCACTGTGGCCCGTGGATCCGCGATGGAGATGGAGGTGAAGAGAGGCCGGTTCCGCCTGAGCGTGCTGGAGGATTCCGCACAGGTGAGCAGCCGCAGATCCATCACAATCCCTACTGAAACAGATACATGTTATTGCTCAGTGTTGCTCATTCATATCCCAGGAGACAGAATGGAGTTAGTTTTTAGTTGTGGTTTGTATTGCTTTAAAAGATGTCAAATGACATGAGACAATTGTTTGGCCACACGTGGACATGGATGGCCAAAGTTTCCATTAGATCTCCATTCAATCTCAATGATAAGATCTGAGTCCACTGTTGAATTGTGTTCTTGAGTTTAGATTTATTGTCGTATTATGTAATCATTTATTGCATGAAGTCACCTCTGTTGTGATCAGCAGTGTTGGGGGAAGTTACTTTTAAAAGTAACGCATTACAATATTGCGTTACGACATAAAAAGTAACGGATTACGTTACTTTGTTACTTTTTAGGGGAAGTAATGCGTTACGTTACTTTTGCGTTACTTATAAAATCTGGACAGGGCTTGCTTGTTTGTTTTTAAAATAAGAAAAATTCTATTTTTGGCAAATATAAAAGCCTTTTCACACCAAAAGTGAACTGAATAAGCCTCGGACTGAAGGGAAAGTAAATGTACGTCCGTACTGTAGAATGCAGAAGAAGACATTTCAACACACTTCAGCAATAAAAAAAGACATTTTTGCTTATTAGTACGGTTGAACTGGATCATCGAAGGTCAGAAGCAAAGACATTGGTTAATAGAATGGGATTAAATACATAAAGGATATTTGTGTTGTTTAACATTAACATTAATTATTGCAGCTTTACGTCATATTCTGAGTTGCATTATTTTTTATTAATTTTGAGGAATACTGAATCTGTGTTTTGTGTGTGTGTGTGAGTGAGATGAATTAATGCATATTCATATTTATTTTATAAATACAGTAACATATTCTGATTTCTGTCACCATGGCAACACCAGAGCTGTCAGTCAATAAATTGGAAAAAAAAATTTAACTCCGATATTCTCTTGTAAATTAAAAAGTAATGCGTTACTTGAAAAAAGTAATCTGATTACGTAACTCGCGTTACTTGTAATGCGTTACCCCCAACACTGGTGATCAGACTGCATTATGTCATACGTCATTTGTATGTTTTTATTTCTCCAAAGTAATTTGTATACAAATGATCCATAATAACTGAGCACACTCCGCAATAAAGCTTTGCTCTGGCTTATGTTCTTAACATTACAACTAACATATTTTATGACTAGACAATGGCAATATGGCAGTTTTATAAGGCAATCTTTTTTTTCCTGGCAGGATTTTATAGTTATGAAAATTAGCCAATTTGCCATCTGAATGTATTAGAAACAGACAAAAGCCTGTTTGAAATCGTTCTCAGACAGACATGACCCTGAGGGAATTTCAAGTCAATACACAATGCTTGCTGTCATCGGAGCAAACAGGCATTGAGTAAGTGCCAGCATGCTTTAACCTACTATTAGTAAGGGACTAATAGTTTAAGAGCGAATGCCTGCGTCCTATTCTTTGGAAATGTGCCGAGATCAATCTTTAGCGAGTGCTTTTGTTTAATTGAACATTTATAGGCATAGATCACCATTCATTTACTAGCTCTCGTGTCAGTCTAGACCTGTATGTAACCTTTCTTTATTCTGTGGAACATAAAATTTGAATTAGAATTTTTTGGGCTCTTTTGTCAATATAATGAATGTGAAGTACTGCGAAAAGAAAAGTCTGAAAGAATTAAAATACATGTTAAAAAGTTGGCACATTTGTGGCAAAAATCATTTTTACAAGCTTATTTTCTTTACAAAAAGGCAAAAATTCAATTGATGCACACTGTACAATGGAAGTGAAAGGGGCCAATTTTGGAGGATTTAAATACAATACAATACATCTTTATTGTCAACCATGGTTGAAATTTGTCTTTGACCACACCAGCGAAAACCAAAGACACGTACTACAGAACACATAAAAACCATCATACTGGATCACATAGCTTTTTGATTAATAAATCCGATCGCAGCAGGTACAAAAGACTTTTTATAAATATGTGTCTTTGCTCTAGGCATTAAAAATCGTCTCCCAGAGGGCAATAAAACAAACTGATCACACAGAGGATGAGTTGGGCCTTTTAATATACACTCCGCTTTCCCAACACATCTTGAGGTATAAACCTCACCCAACTTATTCTGTGGTCTGCCAATAATTTTACTAGCTATATTAGTGACTCTTGCCAGATTATTTTTCTTCTTGCAATTAAGATGCCCATACCATGAAGTTAAATTATAGGTCAGCACACCCTCTACCAATGATTTGTAGGCAATCTCCAATATGTTTTGACTTACTCCAAACCTACTGATTCTCCGTATCAGGAATAGACGTTGCATGCATTTTTAAAAATATTATTAGTATTATCCACAAAACTCAGTTTGCTGTCTATATATGTGCCAAGATATTTAAAATTATCAACAATCTCAACCGGGTGACTCTCTATCATTACAGGCACAACTACTTTATAGTTAATAGTTAGTTCTAGTTAGCAACAGCACACTGGCACGTACTAATGCAGTTATCAGAAAGACTCACAATACTCACATGTAAATAGTCAAACAACATGCAGTTTAAATAATCTTTAGGTTTTGCTGTCCATCCTCAACCTAACCACAGGCTCTACTCTTCACCACAACGGTAACACTACAAAACCAACATAACAGAAACCTATGTAAATCCTAACATAACACAACATTTAAGTACTAACTTATGTCTCTCTGTTTATCTTGTGTAAAAACACACAAAATAACACTTAATTTCTACATTTATTTTCCTTGTTGTCTGATGCAAAGCATGCTGGGAACTAGAAAAGACAATCATTATAAGTTCACCTTAATAAAACAACGTTTTACATTTACAGAGCGCATTTCAATTAAGTCCAATTAACTTTCATTATTATTTGAGTGAAGTGAACTCATTTAATTAATTTCACTGTTCGGTTTTACAGTGTATTATTTATATACTATTACAATATTTAATAATATTTTGAAGTAGCTTTTATATTTATATTTTCAGTTTTAATTTTAGTTAGTTTAGTTTAGTTTAGTTTTTAATATTTCCTTCATATTTGTTTTATATTTAATTATAAAATATAATATAAAATAAATGTTTCAGCTTATTTGATTTTTAATATTTTTTAAATATTTTTGTTATATTATCAGTTATAATTTTGTTAATAATACAACACTGCTATAAAGACAGTAAGATTACCAATGTTATACATAGTAAAATTGCCAATTTATTGAAATGCTATGAACGAACAAGTTTCATTTTTGCACAATTCCATAAGCGAGTTAATTCAAGTCAGCTGAGCATGTGACAAGATTAACCCTATGTAACAACACGTCTCATGCTAATCTATACAAACGGCTTAACATACTTACAAAAATACCCTGAATGATATAGCACGTTCCGGTACATGGAACGTAAATACATTGAACAAAAGACATGCTTTTGGGGTTCAGGCCAGGGCTTATCCTTACGCTTTTGACAATGAGGTCATACGATGTGGGTCATGAACAAACTCTAACCCACTGAAAGCGTTGCTGGTATGTGTGTTGATCAGGGAAGTGATTTTCTGGAGATAAAGAGAGTTCTTTTCCTAAAGTAGGTATTTTGTGTGTGTTTATATATACAGTATATATGGTTATGAACGAATTAATGAAACGCATTTGTCTCTTCCGCGGCTCGGCGACAGCGCACCGCATTAAAATAAATTATCGTTCATGTTTTCATAACCGCTGGCCAAATTCAAAAACAAAACTAAAATTAAATCATCTTTGAGCAAGGTGGCCCCCTGGTGTTTCGGGGGCCCTACGCAGCTTGCGTATTTTGCATATAGGGAGGATCGGCTCTGGGTGAATGGTTCTGGGTGTATCGTCTGAGGATATGACTGCTCTTTCTTCATCTCTCTGCAGGACTGTGAGGTTCAGAGACGGATCGAGAGAGAGGTGAGGATCAGAGAAGGGGCCTGTAAGCTTTTAGCTGCGTGTTCTCAGAGAGATCAGGCTCTGGAAGCTTCCAAGACTCTCCTCACATCCAACAGCCGCATACTGGCCCTTATGACCCAGCTGCAGCGCATGAAGGAAGCCCAGGCCATGCTGAGAGCAGGACGGAGGTAGATCATCGAGTCACTGAGTTGGGGTATAGATGTATAATGAGTTGGACTGAATAGGTAGCAGTGGAGTTCTGTAAATAGCAACTCCGTATCTCCTTAAAACAAACTTTCTCAACTCACCAATGATTTCCATATTTTATGGCATTATTACTGAAGCTCATTTCCGCCATGGGATTAAATTTTTTTTTTGAAAAATTAGAATTGCGACATATAAACTCAGAATTTTAAGTTTATATCTCACAATTCTAAATCTTTTTCTCAGAATTCCAAGTTTATTCTCCCAATTCTGTTTTTTGTTTCCACTATGGAATAAAAAATTAAAAGGTAATTGTAACTTTTTTTTATCTCACAATTTTGACTTTTTTCCCCCTCACAATTCCAAGTTTATATCTCATAATTCCGACTTTTCTTCTCAGAATTGTAAGTTTGTCTCGCTATTCTGACTACTTTCTTTCTCAGAATTGTGATTTTGTGATCTTGCAATTATGACTTTATATCTCACAGTTCTGACTTTATATCTTGCAATTGTGATAAAATAGTACACGTATATAGCGTGAAATATAGTAACATTTTATTTAGATATAAATTAAATAATAAATATCAATAAAAAATAATAGAAACAAATAATAAAAGTATAACATAATTATGATGCCCAACTGTTGAAGTTGTTTTGTTGTAAGTGCACTTAAAATGTTGCCATTGTAGGCAGCTCACTGTGTCTGGAACAGAGCCGCTGATCCATTGATTGAATGTTTTTAGGTCATCTGATGGTGAGTCTGTTGATAAGCGATTACCTTGTACTGGAAAAGTAGCCATTTCAGGTGAGGTTACATGCACAGAGGCTAATGCAACAACTTACTATATCACTATACTATATCTTATTTATTTGCTTTGATTTGTTACTGTTTTTATTTTTCTATTTTCTTATCCTCAGATATCCGCATTCCTCTCATGTGGAAAGATTCAGAGTATTTTAAAAACAAAGGAGGTGAGTTTGACTGAGAATCTGTATGACCACAAAATCAGTCAGATTTTCACTGATTTTCTCCTTTTCTGTACCTCTTTTCTCTGTTCAGAGCTGCACCGGTGTGCTGTGTTCTGTTTGCTGCAGGTGGGGACAGAGATTCACGATACAGATCTCGTAATAGTGGACAGGACGCTCACAGACATCTGTTTCAATGAACCAGTGATATTGTAAGATATTCTTCATTTACTTTCTTTTATCCCTCTGATATTCATGGACGAAATGGAAATGGTCCTCTCCAAAATGGTCTACAAATTTTTAAAAAGTTTTTTTATTTTTTTTTATTAAAAATTTAGTCAATATCTCATCATGTCATATTCATTAGTTATAGTGGTTGATTACTTAAATTTACTTGTTGTCTGACCAAAAAAAAGAAAAAGGTAAACATTTTGTTTGATATATTTTGGTAAATATACATTACCATTTAAAGGTTTGGGGTCATTAAGATACAATTAATACTTTCATTAAGCAAAAATGCATTAAATTGATCAAAAGTTACATTAATGGGGTCATATGATGCGATTTAAATTTTTCCTTTCTCTTTGAAGTGATACAAGCTCTTGCATAAAGAAGATCTGTAAAGTTGCAAAGACTAAAGTCTCAAATCCAAAGAGTTATTCTTTATAAAAGTTAAGAGTCAACCACGCCTACCTAAAACGGCTCGTTCTAACACGCCCCCACATGTCTACGTCACGATGTGGGAAGATTTGCATAACGCCGCCCAAATGTTCACGGAAAGAAAGAAGGCGTAACTTTTATTCTCGCTGTAGTATTGTTGTTGCCACCGCCACCATGTCGTGCAGACGCTGTGTGTTTTGTTGTGAAAGTGAAACTACTTTGTTTGGCCTTCCAAAAGAGAACGATATCCGCTTCGTCATGCCTGGAGCTGATTCGTGCTGGTCGCTGAGGAAATACATCAACTTCGCGCTGTGGATCGCCGGATCGGCTTTCACCGTGGACGAAGCGGAGTCCAGCCCGGGGTCGTCACATGTGGTTGCCGCAAGCCCGCCGGACGCTCCTTCGTCAAATCCTCTAGCCCGCCGTGTGTGACGCTGTGTTTCGATGTGAAAGTGAAACTACTTTGTTTGGCCTTCCAAAAGAGGACACGACTAGAAATCAGTGGTTAAGTTGTATTTACAACACTGTTCCAGAACAGTTTAACCCAAATATTCAGATGTGTGCAGCGCATTTTATGGAGGACTGTTTCCTGATCCTGGGAGAGTAGACTACAATGCCGGCTGTTCTGACTCACCGACTGTAAATACGTTTTTTTTATATTTAAAGGATTTGCCACTGATGATTCAAACGTGAGTTTTGGGCAGTGTAGAGTAGCGCTTGTTGTTTGTCATTTCTCCATCACAAATGCAGACATGGTTTTATGTTTACACGGCGTGATTCAACTCGTAAAAAGACAGTACAAGTCATTATAATCCGTAATTATGTCCCCACTGCAACAAATGCCTCGTTTATAATGGGTTTTCATGTTTTTGTCTCGTCGCTCCGGCCGGACAGGGCATCACAGTATGGTAGGGGCGTAACATTTCCATCACACGCTTGAGGTATTCAGCCAATCACAACGCACTGGATAGCTGGCCAATCACAGCGCACCTCGCTTTTCAGACCGATGAGCTTTGTAAAAATCGACGCGTTTCAGAAGGCGGGGCATAGAGGAGAAACAATAATGTACAGTATGTGGAAAATGTGTTATTTTAACCTTAAACCGCATAAACACATTTCATTACACCAAATACACAAAATAATGTTCTTTTTTAGCAACATCATATAACCCCTTTAAAGACTTTTAAAAAATTTTTTAAATGTGATTTCAAAGCTGAATTTTTAGCAGCATTACTCCAGTCACATCATCCTTCAGCAAGCATTCTGATATTCTGATTTGTTGCTCAAAAAACATTTATTATTATTATTATTATTATTATTATGTTGAAAACAGCTGAGTAGAATTTTTTTCAGGTTTCTTTAATGAATAGAAAGTTCAGAAGAAAAGCATTTATCTGAAATGGAAATATGTTGTAACATTATAAATGTCTTTATGACTTTTGATCAAATATTGCTAAATAAAAGTATTAATTACTAGAATTTATCCCCCCAAAAATAAAACTATTATATATATATATAATGTATGTATGTATGTATGTATATATACTGACTCCAAGCTTTTGAATAGTATAATGTTACAAAAGCTTTTTATTTCAGATAAATGCTGATCTTTGGATATTTCTGTTAATCAAAGAATCCTGAAAAATGCACTCAACTGTTTTAAATATTGATAATAATAATTAAAAAAATGTTTCTTGAACAGCAAATCAGCATATTAGAATGATTTCTGAAGGATCGTGTGACACTGAAGACTGGAGTAATGATGCTGAAAATGTAGCTTTGATCACAAGAATAAATTACATTTTAAAATATATTCCGATAGAAAGCAGTTATTTTAAATATATTTCACAATATTACTGCTTTTGCTGTATTTTTTTAGCAAATAAATGCAGGCTTGGTGAGCAGAAGAGTATTTTTTGTTTTAACATTAAAAATCTTACTGTTCAAAAACTTTCGACTGGGTGTGTGTGTGTGTGTGTGTGTACACACACACACACACCCAGTCGAAAGTTTGTGAACAGTAAGATTTTTAATGTTTTTTAAAGAATTCTCTTCTGCTCACCAAGCCTGCATTTATTTGATCAAAAAACTATATTTTGTGTGTACAGTGTGTGTGTGTGTACACACACACACACACCCAGTCGAAAGTTTGTGAACAGTAAGATTTTTAATGTTTTTTAAAGAATTCTCTTCTGCTCACCAAGCCTGCATTTATTTGATCAAAAAACTATATTTTGTGTGTACAGTGTGTGTGTATACACACACACTGTACACACAAAATATAGTTTTTTGATCAAATAATGCAGCCTTGGTGAGCATGAGAGACTGTTTTCAGAAACATTAAAAAAAAACATACTTTTGAACAGTAGTGTATACATTTTAAATATTTTATTTTAAAAATCTCTGTAACTAATGTAAAATAATAAAGCTCTTTTTTAAGTCCACTTTCCATATATCCTGTCTTCATAGCACTGACGTACCTCCAGGCTTTGACCTGCGGGTGGAGCTCTACAGCTGCTGTGTGGAGGAGGAATTCAGCATGGGCTTCTCCACTCGGAGGCTGAGCCGGCTGGGAAGTGCCTCCAGTAAGAAGTTCATGGCAACTTTAGAGACAGCAGCTTCCTGCAGTTCCCACAGCAGCGGAACCGGATCACCCGGAGTAGAATCACCGGTTCTGCTGCCTGCTCTGTCTGTACGGTGAGGGGGCAGTATATGTGTCATTACATAAAATATATACTATTCCACATACCAAAGCGGTGTACAAACACATACATGACACTGGGAGAGTGTTAAATGTTGAAACGGTCTCACACTTCAGCAATGTTTGCCGAAACCAGTTCACAAACAGAAACAAACGCATCCATAGTGACTGTCAGTACAGACAGACACACCTTGACTGTTTATTTTCTTAACATTCGGTCTGTCTGAGAAAAAGGCCAGAAAAGCACAGCAGAGAAAATTAATCCAAGAGATGGATGGCGAGACAAGTCGAAACCAATGACATATTTTTAGGGTGAATCTCATGAAGCCTGTCAAAAACATGTCTGGGTCATTTTTCATAGTTAAAAACATGTTTCAAATTTCAAGGGGATTTTTCTTTCTATTGTTTATCTTAATGATATGCTGTGTCATTATGTTCATGAGAATAAAGCACCACTTAAAATAATGTATCTTTTCATTCTTATTATTTAATTATTTTAAATTGTAAAGCAATTATACATTATAGTTTCATTTATTTTACTGCCTGTATTCTTTCGCAATTTTAATAACAATAACAAAATATCTATTGAGAGAGCATAGTTTTCACTATTACATTACAGAATCATTACTGACCCTAAAATGAATTACAAACAAACTCCATTATAAAACAGCTAAATCCAGTTAGAATTTGGGTGGACGGATGTCATGAAAATAGAGTAAAAAAACTTTAAAAATCTTAATGGTTCAAAAATATAGTATTAGTATTAAATATAGTATTTTCTTGTAAAATATTAGAATTCTGGGATGAAATATGACCTGAGCATTTTTTTCTCCATTGTAAGTTTTCATTTGATTAAAAATACATCAATGTTTCATTCTCACAATTAAAAAAAACATACTTTTGAACAGTAGTGTATACATTTTAAATATTTTATTTTAAAAATCTCTGTAACTAATGTAAAATAATAAAGCTCTTTTTTAAGTCCACTTTCCATATATCCTGTCTTCATAGCACTGACGTACCTCCAGGCTTTGACCTGCGGGTGGAGCTCTACAGCTGCTGTGTGGAGGAGGAATTCAGCATGGGCTTCTCCACTCGGAGGCTGAGCCGGCTGGGAAGTGCCTCCAGTAAGAAGTTCATGGCAACTTTAGAGACAGCAGCTTCCTGCAGTTCCCACAGCAGCGGAACCGGATCACCCGGAGTAGAATCACCGGTTCTGCTGCCTGCTCTGTCTGTACGGTGAGGGGGCAGTATATGTGTCATTACATAAAATATATACTATTCCACATACCAAAGCGGTGTACAAACACATACATGACACTGGGAGAGTGTTAAATGTTGAAACGGTCTCACACTTCAGCAATGTTTGCCGAAACCAGTTCACAAACAGAAACAAACGCATCCATAGTGACTGTCAGTACAGACAGACACACCTTGACTGTTTATTTTCTTAACATTCGGTCTGTCTGAGAAAAAGGCCAGAAAAGCACAGCAGAGAAAATTAATCCAAGAGATGGATGGCGAGACAAGTCGAAACCAATGACATATTTTTAGGGTGAATCTCATGAAGCCTGTCAAAAACATGTCTGGGTCATTTTTCATAGTTAAAAACATGTTTCAAATTTCAAGGGGATTTTTCTTTCTATTGTTTATCTTAATGATATGCTGTGTCATTATGTTCATGAGAATAAAGCACCACTTAAAATAATGTATCTTTTCATTCTTATTATTTAATTATTTTAAATTGTAAAGCAATTATACATTATAGTTTCATTTATTTTACTGCCTGTATTCTTTCGCAATTTTAATAACAATAACAAAATATCTATTGAGAGAGCATAGTTTTCACTATTACATTACAGAATCATTACTGACCCTAAAATGAATTACAAACAAACTCCATTATAAAACAGCTAAATCCAGTTAGAATTTGGGTGGACGGATGTCATGAAAATAGCACATCTGAAGACACGCATAACTGGATGGAAGCTTTCTGGCAGCATTTCTATGACATGAGTGAGTACCAGAGTTCCAAGAATGCACAAGATCACTTCAAAAAATCACTTCAGCAGTATCGTAAATGGTTAAAAATCTAAATAGATCTATCTAGGTTTATTTGACAGCTCTAATACAGAATGGTTTGAACTACAATTTACCTAAAAACTTTAACACCATTTTTTACTGTCGTGCAACCACTGGTATGTCCATACGGAACAACAACAACAACAAAAATCATAGCAGTGTCTTTGCAGATTTCCTTATTGTAGGGACCGAAAAACAAAATTCCCTTTTTGACATGTGTGGTATGCAAATAACACTGTCTCTGATATGCTGCGTGTGTTTGCTGCAGTCATAGGTGAACTTACTCTTAAAGATGCCAGTCCAGGCCTAATTCTAAAACAGAGATGGGATCCCAGACCAGTACTGTTCCCATAATAAGACTGGTTTTCTTAACCACAACCTTAAAGTAGCATTGGATAAAATGTATTCTTTCAGTTTCTGGGGGTGTGTACTTGGCTGTGTCTGTGTATTTCTATTGCCTTTTCCCCTTTGCTTTTTTCCTCATAGTTTTGGTTATACTTGGAATGACAGAATGAATAGTTGTCTTGTCTTGTAATTCTGCTTTTATTTTTTTTATATTAACTTGTGAAACTGTATTACACAAATTAGCAAGACTAACTTGTCTAGGCAACTAAGCATCCATCCCATAATTGAAAAAGATGGTCTCTTGGTTCACAAAAAAATCAGTTCACTCACTATTTGTTGCTTGTCAGTTTGATTTAAAATCGATTTTTGTGAATTTGATTCAGCAACTCTTTAAACTGCATTCATAAGGAATCTTCCTCAAATGAATCTAAGGCAAAACTAAGAACAATGACAGACTTATTCAGCACAGCATTGCCTACATTCCTGAGCATATAAGCCACTTGAAATACAACAAAGAATGAGTGATCAGGAATGGGAGTGTTACTTATATAACACAAAATCAGTAGAGTTATACAATATAAGCATTATCAGTCGTTCCATAGCAGTACATTTTGCAATTAAACTTGTGAATGTTCAAATACTGTCCATCTTAATTGATTATATAATGGAATTAAAAATAAAATCACCTAAAGGTCATATTTTAAGATTATTTCTGTTGCGTTAGAAGGAATCAAATTAAATTGACACCCCTAGAGATTTACTTTTAAACTGTCCTTTTGATTTCAAATGTCAAAACCAAGTTACAATCTTGTACAAAAGAGAAAATTTAACAAATATGGGTGGATGTGTTAAGATTAGTTATCTTGGTAGATAATTTAGTGTCCCATACTAAAATGAGTGCAGGATATTATGACCTTCTGTTTCATTAATACACATTATATATTGTCTTATGTATTTGCTTAATATGGAGAGGTCATTGGAGATGTTTGAATTATAAAGTTTACCTCCATAGAGGCAGTTTTACTGTTTTCATAGTTTGTGCTCTAGTATAAAATTTCTAACACTGAACTGGTTTATTTAGCTGGAAGAGCCACAGAAACACAAATGAGAGAAAGCCTATGTCAGGTTAAAATAAGTGACAGTTTGAAGGTATTGCACTTGTAAGAATTTTTCATGTGACTTTACAAGGAATCCAGCCTTGTTATTTTTAAATCTGGTGTGTTGGCGACAGGTTCTGAGACCAGTTAGGCTTGATTTATTTGCTGTTTCTATTGTGAAATCTGCTGTTATTTCTGGGAAGGTGAAAGCTTAAACTAGATTTATTTACTTTTTTCATAACCGCTTTTTTTGACTTAGTAAGCCAAGACTTTCTTTGTACGCAAGACACTTTTATTGGTATACAGTGACTGCGAGAAAGTGATAAATGAATAAGATTCAACAAGGTCATTTTGATGATCTTCTGATATGATAAACAAGATAATAAGTAGAGTCAGCTGTCTTAACTGCGGCTTGTGTACTGCATCATTACTGTGTCTGTTCCCCTTTCGGACTTGAACTGATGGTAAAACTAATGACATATATATTTACTGTCTTTACATTTATTTTGAAAGATGAAGCTCGCGATTATGGTAAGGGTCGTTACATTTCCGACGAGTGCTTGCGGTGTTCGGCCAATCACAATGCACTGGGTCAGCTGGCCAATCAGAACAGACTGCGCTTGTCGGAACGAGAGACTTTGTAGAAAACAAAGCATTTGAGAGAGGCGGGGCATAGAGGACCTACAATAATGTACAGTATTTGAAAAATAATGTGTTTTTTGAACATTAAAGCATGTCAACATATTCTGTTACACCAAATACACAAAATAATTATCTTTAAAAAAGCATCATATGACCCCTTTAAGTTGTTTCACAGCAATCCATTTCGCAATTAAGCATACATTCTTTGTGAAGTTATTGGTCAAACATTGTCCAATTAATTATTTAATGGAATTATTCATATTAAAGTAATTTTAAGATTCTTGAATAAGATTTACGTTTGTACTTTCCTTTTGATTTAAAATGCCATTTGGTCTATATTTATGACTTCAGAAATGCTGCATTTGCCAAGATACAAGCTATTGACAGTATGCCAACCGTGGAAATTGAGCCTTCGCTCAACAGGTTCTGGCATCTTTGAAACTAAGTTACTTTCTTAAACAGAAATGCAGACAGATGTGGGTGGATGTGTTAAAATGAGGGATCTTTGGAGATAATGTATCATTAGATGCGGATAAACTGGGTTTAGTGGAAAATTACTGGAATAAGGAAATTGAGGATTTCATGTTAAGTGCTACAAGGAAACAGTTCCCCCCACAAAAAAGTTTTGAATTAATCATGATTGAAATATAATATTATTGACAAACAACCAGCAGATACGTATCTGTGGATAAATGCATCATTGAAAAGTTAATTGAAAGTTATCATTGAAAGTTCCACATTCATTTGAAATGCATTAATGTTATGCTTGATTAACAGTGCTTGCTTACCCAACACACTTTGTAACATGATGGACAAACTGTTGTTAAAAAGATAATGCTGTTGTTGTCCAAAAAAACACATGCATATTATGCTTATATAGTGAAAAAACCTTGTTAAAAATGCAGTAAAGTGTGCCATAAATTCACTGTAAAACCTAGTGTTTTCGGTATTTATTTGTGTTGCTACTTTACATCCTTTTACTATTTTTCACTGGGCATTATAAGATGACTCATATTTATTTAATGTATTTTATAAACAATCAAAAAAGTAATATTTTTTTAAGACCACATTATTGTTTGGATTTTCACTGCAAGTGATATATATTCAAACTTTTCCTTTGAAAAACCCAACTTATTTGAGTATTTTATCTGACATGCCATCACCTCAGTTTGACCTGTATTTTAAAACTCAATACATACATTGTATAAAAATCAAGCACAGAGTACAGTACTTTCTTTGTTCTGGTTTGACAGCAGTTGATTTGAACAGGGTGGATTTGTTAACATACTTCAGTTTCAATAAAGAATAAAAATGAAGACAAGAATTCTCTCCCATTAGCAATATGCTGAATTCACAAAGCCTGCTTTTATTTTCAAGACGAATTACTTTTTATCTTTGAATTCATCAGCTAAAATTTTAATGAGTGTTTTAGTAGACACAGTGATTATTTTTAAAAGAATGAAGAAAGTAGAGATTGGTTTAAAATCACATTCATATCCTGTGAATTACCTGTTATGCACAGCGCAATAACTGCAAATTGCCATGTGACACGTTGCCATATGAAGTTGTTTATTTTATAGATTAGAAAATCAAATTTCAAAAAAAAAAAAAATCAGCTTTTACATTCCTATTTCCATGGTGATGCATCAGGCATGTCATGTGACATTTCGAAGTCATGGCACTGTATGACTGACGTGTAAGTTATTTTTTTCTTATTCAAAATGTTCTGAAACGTGTTATTGAGATCGTAAAATATCAGGGGCTATGTGCGTTGTGAATTTTTGATGAGTCTAGCGCCTAATTTACACTGGCGTGAAGACACCTAAATGCCACTTTAGAAGTACTTCTATGCCATCTTTGCAATGTAAATGTTAAGGGCGCTCTGTGGCTGTTTAAAATTCAGTGTAAAGACATAATGTCGCATAAAAGGCAAACTAAATTATGCCTGCTCAGAGCCACCTCAGCCCCTAATACCAAGCAGTACAATTTGCTGTGTAAATTAATTTATGCTGCCTCTGCGCAGCATTAAACAGCCTGTGCAAAGAAACCTAAATGCCATTTTGGAGGCGCTTCTGTGCCACCTTTGCAGAGAAAATTTGAAGTAATGAGACTTGGGTCCACAACACTGTGTAACATTTATAATTGTCAGTTCTCAGCTCCACACACAAAGGACTCAAACCAACTACATCCACACCTAAACCTTCGCTCTTCTCCTTCTGTCCCCTCACTGAGGCAGAAGTATCCAAACTTCTCCTCTCCTGCTAACGTCCAACGTGCCCACTAGACCCTATCCCCTCACACCTTCTCCAAGCAATCTCTCCTACACTCTTACCAGCACTCACACACATCATCAACACATCTCTCCTCACAGGCACCTTCCCCACTACATTCAAGCAGGCTCGGGTAACCCCACTGCTCAAAAAACCTACATTATACACTTCACTTATATATAGCTACAGACCTGTCTCTCTCCTTCCATTCATAGCAAAAACACTTGAACAAGTTGTTTTCAACCAGGTATCATTATATCTTAGCAACCAACTGGATGCTAACCAATCTGGTTTCAGGAGTGGCCATTCAACTGAGACTGTGCTACTGTCAGTCACTGAAGCCTTGCGGATTGCAAAAGCTGTTTCCAAATCATCAGTTCTTATTTTGCTGGATCTGTCACTTTTGACACTGTGAATCATCAGATCCTCCTGTCCACCCTCTCATCACTAGACATCACAGAGATTCCACTTCGCTGGTTTGAATCCTATCTCACTGGTAGGTCTTGTAACGAATCAGCTCATGAGGAAATATGAATAATTAACCATAACTAGTTATAATTAATTATTCATATTTTAGATC